AATATACAGCCTTTTGCAAAAATTATGAGAATTGTTGAAATATCTAAATATCATAATATCGAGTGCATGATGGGTAATCCCGCGCGATGCCCTTAGTCCCTTGTCTTTGTAGTTTAGTTTTTTTTTGGCGACAGACTTATCCGTAGTTCTGAACATTTTCTCGATGTCAACAATGAATTATTCTAGCAAACCCGCGTGTTCCAGACAATATATGGATATGGATATTATGATATTTAGATATTTAGACAATTCTCATAATTTTTGCAAAAGGCTGTACTCATCAAAACATGCTATTTAACCAATCACAGCGGGCGTTATATACATGCATCAATACTTTAACCAATCACAGCGGGCGTTATATACATGCATCAATACTTTCGGAGAACAATGCGTCTGCCATCTTGAAAAGTGGGACTCAAATCACTAAATTATAACTCTTAAAGGAACGAAAAGCTTTTAAGCTAATGTCAAGTTTATACAATACGATTTTATGATAGATTAGTTGACTTAGCAACTACGAAATGTGTTCTAAGCACAACATAGTGATTTGGGTCTCACTTTTTAAGATGGCAGACGCATTGGTCACAGTGATGCATGTATACTAATTATTTTAGAATTATAATATTTTTTCATTTCCCAGAACTTGATGTATATAAAGAATCAAGCAAATCCTTCTTGTTTTCCTTRTACAACAACAATGGCTACCAACCAATGCAACTAAACCTAACTGGCCAGTATAACGTGAAAGCTTTGCGTCAAAAGTCCTCCTGGGGACCATCATTTGGATACGGAATTGACATATACATCTCTAATCTTGCATCAACAAATCTATTATCTTACACAAAACCCAAATCTTATCAAGCACCTCCCGGTTGCAGCATTGGATCGGCATGTACTTTCCTGGCAGGCTCCYACACCTTCAAACCATCTGACATTGAAGTGTTCTACCACGATGGAGATATTCGTACGTTTTGCGAACGTAATTTGTGCTCAGAAATTGCATTTGACAAGAATTCGAAGTGAATTTCCTCATTAYACTCGTGGTCAGTTCACTTAAAGAATTCCAACCAAACACAATGCAGCGCGCGCTCGTGTTTTTATTTACATACGGGATACCACCACTAACCTCGTCAAGCATACAATAGATTATTGATTGATAGTACCTGTGAGGTACTTAGTTAATGGTATTTCTGTCCAAACCGAATGGATTGAAGACGATTTGCGCTCACTTTAAGAAATTCTGCGAATCCGCCATTTTCGTGTCCACCTGAAATGGCGCTTCGGCTCGCAAGTTACGGTTGGTCGTGATTCCTTACGTTTTGATCATCTATTGAATCACTTTCGAGGAGAGTACATACCGTAGAAAATTCCCTTCGAATTGTTGAATCGAGTGTAAATTCGAGCCGTACAAGAAGACAATATTTGGATCTCGGTCATTCGTACGGTTCAGTAGAAATCAAATAAATTCGCCAAATTCACTGCAATTTAGCACTATTTAAAATTAGTTCCATTAATATCAAAGTGAAGTGAAATAGACATTACACTAATACACCTTAGAATGTTCTAATCTCATTGTTTTCTTTTTTGTAAAGTTTTGTGTCACGGGTTTATAACTTCACTTCAAACCCGTGAAACAAAATTTCAATATTAAAGTGTGATAGTCAAATAGACACAAAAGAAAACAATGCAATTAGAGCGTACTAAGGTGTATTAGTGTAATATATATTTCACGGTTTTTTTGATATTTTTTTATTATTAAAAAAATATTGTTTTGTCCACAGGGGGGCTAGAAAACTCCTCCATCCTAAAGAATTATGGAAACAMAAGCTAYGTARCCACTCTAACCAGCTACCTWAACACTGTACAGGAATTCCAGGCGCAAAAWTGGAGGCGATGCTGGAGCGCCCCTGAAGAYGGCTGGGACACACGAATGACATTTCATCCCCAATGTGATGGKAAAAAACCAACGGTGACGATTGTCCGCGTCGCTTCGTATGTGTTTGGTGGATTTACAGACCAACCTTGGCATTCTGGTAAAGATTATTTATTCTTTTTCTCYCTGTTCCAMCTCTTCATCTAAATMAGATATTTCTTGTTTCACAACAGCTTCTGAATATTCCAAGTCAAGCAAGTCTTTTCTATTTTCCCTGTACAACATCAATGGCTTCAAACCTGTCCAGTTAAACCTGACTGWACAGGGAAATAAGCATGCTATATACAGCGCTAGCACTTATGGGCCAACATTTGGACATGGACATGATATTCGTATTTATAATCTAGCCTCAAGTAATTCCTTCACAAAACCCAAGGCATATGATGTCCCTAGCGGTTGTACATACAATGTTGCTGACTGTAAATTCTTCGCTGGGTCTTATAAATTTAAACCGGACGACGTGGAGGTGTTTTATTATGATGGCGGAAAAGCGAGTAAGTGGAGAAATTCATTTCCTGGGAGGGTTTGCTCTGCTCTGCTCTGCTCTGCTCTGCTCTGCTCTGCTCTGCTCTGCTCTGCTCTGCTCTGCTCTGCTCTGCTCTGCTCTGCTCTGCTCTGCTCTGCTCTGCTCAGCTCAGCTCAGCTCTGCTCTCTGTTCTGCTCTG